GCCTGCTGTCAGTTGAGAGTACGAGGGAGGAGGAGTTCGTTGTGTACAGGAAGCCGCTTACTGCCTACAGTCAGAAAGCTTATCTCAGGGAACTGGTCGGTCATTGACCTATTTATCTTAACTAATAATGAATGAATCAAAGATACAATTTTCAGATAAACAGCAATATTTATGGAATAAAAAACACCTCCCCCTTCTCACAATGCATGCATGCACCCCCTCCCCCCCCCCACACACACAGATTGCATATTTCTGGACTGCCAAAAAAGTCTTTGATACAGTACCACACAGTAGGCTACTATACACACTTGAGGGGCAGGCGGGAGTAGACGGCAACGCACTGGAAACATGTTTCAAGAAACAGGTTCAGTGTGATATTAATCCCAGGAACTTTTTCTCTCTTTGGTTTCTAAAGGATTTTATGTCCCATTTGGTACTTATGTCCGGCCTCTTGCTCCCTTCCCTTGTTTCATTACTTTTGCGCTTAACTGGGCTAAACTTAAGTGATCATTTGTTGGTCCATTTATTGTTTGTCAGGGTCATCTTGTTGCCTCTTGTTATCTTCCTCCGTCTTAATCCATCTTATAATTTTGTGCATCATCATCAAGCATTGATAAGAAGGATTACATTCCTTATTATACCTGGGAATTATTCTGGTCCATTTTTTGTACCAGTAAGTTCTCACAAAAGCAGCCGGTCTTCAGGATCGCCAATGAATTGAATAAATGTTTATAAACCCCGAAAATCAGTTTCATCTGAAATAATCCAGTTTGTAAAATGCACCCAAAAGCTTATCCCCAATTAACATTAATGACAATAACCCAAAACTATTAAGAACCACTCCGAGCTTCGATAGTGTCAGATACCTTTAGTTCTTACAATAATAAAATATAGATACACAAACATTCAGGTTACCGAACACCAAGTGTTGTGTGTGTGCACAATGGGTGTTAACGCCGGGTGTCAACCGACACAGGTTATTCACAACCTGGAATAATCTGCATTTTACCTGTTATTGAACATGAAGAAAAACACGTGCAAAGAGAACAAATGGTAGAGATGGTAGTTATTAGTGACGATGAGGAACACAGTAATAGCAGAGTGGCAGGTTAGGTGGGAAACAAAGTCGAGGAGAATATTTAGATACAGTTTAGTGTTCATATCACAACGGAAATCAGTAAAAGTAACAGTGTCGCCATTATTTAGCAAGAGTTCAATTATTTTAATCAACCTTAACATATTTTTAAAGTGATTTTAAATAAAGTTGTTTTTAAAATGCATCCATATTACCTTTAAGTAAAAGCTTTACATAAGCCCTGGTAGGTTTAATGCAGATATTGCTTACTGCATCAGCTCGCTTTCTTGGAATAGATTTAAGGTAGACTGACAAGCTTTTGGGTAGATGATATCTTTCTGGGTCGATGGTTGACTGACGCACCGACCTCGTGCTTGTGGCGGGACGGTAGCCCCTGGGATGGGATGCAGGAACCATTGGAGCTGCACACGCTTGCTGACTTCCACCTGCAGCTCATTAATACTGTGACTGGCACTACAGACTGCACAGCAACAGTTTATCTGGTAATAAAGCAAAGTTTTAGTGACTGTTTAAGGTAAGTTTGCATTTAAAATTGGTTTTATTAACTGAGTTCTTAGCAATAATAATAAACATGAATGAGTTCATAATTCTGCACGTTAGTCAGGACACGTGTTGATACAAGTATTAAAACGTGACGTGATCCTTTAAATGTGAAATACGATATTACTCCAGTAAAGTGTTAAAGACGTCACACTTGACGAGGTCAGGCTGCATAGGTCTCGCACCGGCACGGACCAGCAGCGAAGTTGAGGGAGGTAAAAATATTACGGACGTACGTACGTAACGAACGAACGAGAGAGAGAGAGAGAGAGTAGAGAGAGAGAGAGAGAGAGAGAGAGAGAGAGAGAGAGAGAGAGAGAGAGAGAGAGGAGAGAGAGAGAGAGAGAGAGAGAGAGAGGAGAGAGAGAGAGAGAGAGAGAGAGAGAGAGAGAGAGAGAGAGAGAGAGAGAGAGAGAGAGAGAGAGAGAGGAGAGAGAGAGAGAGAGAGAGAGAGAGAGAGAGAGAGAGAGAGAGAGAGAGAGAGAGAGAGAGAGAGAGAGAGAGAGAGAGAGAGAGAGAGAGAGAGAGAGAGAGAGAGAGAGAGAGAGAGAGAGAGAGAGAGAGAGAGAGAGAGAGAGAGAGAGAGAGAGAGAGAGAGAGAGAGAGAGAGAGAGAGAGAGAGAGAGAGAGAGAGAGAGAGAGAGAGAGAGAGAGAGAGAGAGAGAGAGAGAGAGAGAGAGAGAGAGAGAGAGAGAGAGAGAGAGAGAGAGAGAGAGAGAGAGAGAGAGAGAGAGAGAGAGAGAGAGAGAGAGAGAGAGAGAGAGAGAGAGAGAGAGAGAGAGAGAGAGAGAGAGAGAGAGAGAGAGAGAGGGAGAGAGAAAGGGGGAGAGAGGGGAGAGAGAGAGAGAGAGGGGGGGGGGAGATGGAGAGAGGGGGAGATGGAGAAAGGGGTGGAGAGGGCGAGAGGGGGAGAGGGGGAGGGAGAGAGGGGGAGAGGGAGAGAGAGGGAGAGGCAGAGAGGGAGAGGGAGAGGGGGAGAGGGAGAGAGGGAGAGGGAGAAGGGGAGAGAGGAGAGAGGTTGGGGAAGGCATCTTTCATCAGGTGAAGTAACTAGAAGTATCAACATCCACAACCAGCTCCCCAGTGTGGACATTGACAGTAAAGAACACGTGTGCTGACAACGACGTACCGAAACACCACGATGTGGATATGAGGGTTTGTCAACAATTATAGTCTTATCTCACCTTAATGTTTCTCTACATTGTGGTTAGTCCTACTAACAAGCAGTTATCATAAGGTATCCCTGATAATTTTCTTGGTCCGAGAAAAAACAAAATTCCTGGACTTGTTCCCATATAACTGCTCAGTAGTTTTAGAGTTTTCTTGAGACTCATTCACTGGGTTTTAAGAAATATTCTGACTGCAGATAAGCAGCTCACATGTGTATGAAGATCTTACCTTTCTGTCCTAAGATGGTTCTATGGCCCAACTGCTTCTCTGAACGTCTCGCTGTGTGGACCAACTGTGACCTGCTGGGTAAGGACACACCTGATGGGTAAGGACACAACTGATGGGTAAGGACACACCTGCAGGGTAAGGACACACATGATAGGTAATCACTCACCAATTGGGTAAGTCCACACCTGCTGAGAACGTACACATTATGGTTAAAATACGTTACTATAACCTTTAATTATAAAATTTTACAATGAACCGCAAATGAGATTTACTTTCTGTTCAGGTTTAATTGACAAATTAACACGTAGTTAATAAGTGTGTACTTAAACAGAGCCACGCCATCTATGGGCTGGTGAAAACCACCTGAATACTGTGTCACACACCTCAACAGTCAGTTAGGAAACTAAATTTGTCTCCTATTACTTCTTATAAATTATATAACTATAAGAAACTCAGTATTTTTTAAAATATTTGACTGAATAAACATCGTTAATTCGAATTTATAAACTGATATAGGATTAAGCTCTCAATGAGTTAATAATATTTACGAGTTATCTCCTTGACCGGAAGTGGAGGCAGCTTTGAAGTCATTACATGCCGAAACAGAGATCAAGACCGCCACCAGGTGGCGACTTCGTCATTACGCAGCCTAAATATTGTTCTGCTCCTGTTGAAAACTTCGACTTCTAAATCAAGTCGCGTCTGCCTCACACTACAACCAGACACAAGTAAAAACCCGTACCTTTCACCATTTATATATTGTTGTTGTTGATTTAGGGGCGACGACGATCGTGGAATCGGATGCGCCCCGGCGTACCCGGTAAGGGTTAATCGCGTAGCCCGGAAAGGAGAACCGCCAAGCCAAATCGTGAAACAAGTGACGCCAATAACTGGAAACTAAGATGCCAAAGAAACGCAGACAGGCAGATGATTGGGGAGCCCCAGGACTCCCCGAGGGTGACAAGCACCGGCCCCGCCCCACACAGATAACACTGTAGTAAAACCAAAAACTCGGCCCCCAACTAATACGCAAAAGACATCCAGTGTCCTTCGACAGAGCAGAAGCCAGCTGAGGGCACACCACGAGCCCACCAAGCCCACCAACCCCCCGACACCTCTCAGCCAACCCGGCCCCCGAACACTGTCACCACGCCGGGAGAACCAGCCAGAACACGTCAAAAAAAAAAAAAAAATCTATCAACAATCCCGTGACCCAAGGCGATATGTGCGACAAGCGTCGTACAACCGGACCGACGAATAGGGATGCCAAACGTCAGATGAGGGAACAGACTTACCTGTTCCTGCGGGACTTACGATGGTGGAAATATACCTCTAGTGGCTGGTGAGGATCTACATGGTGTAGGGTGCTGGGGTGGTGGTATGCCAGTAACTGTGTATACCTGGCAGACACTTTCGGTTGGCTGACCGAGGCGGTTAATTCGTTGGACAGAGTCACTGACACATGACGATGCGTCACATATGCCACTATTAAGTAACTAGTAAGCCATATACTTGCGTCAATTAAAATAAAATAAAGAACGCAGTTTAATACAGATCATTTAATTTTTAAAAAATATGTTTCGCCATTATAGTTTCATATATAGTTTCACAGTAATCTGGAGGCTTTTACTTTAGATGTTTCCCTACCCTCTAGATCCTTCACTGATATCCCTGAGGCGAGATGTGCCGGATATAAGTGAGGCCTCTAACACTACGAGCCGACCTGTGACATATAACAGTGGAAATTATTAGGGTGTGATGTGATGGGAGAAGGTGGGTGGTGATGGGTGAAAAGAAGCTTGAGGAAGGATGCTGTGTAACATGGACCCTACCCAGGAGCCTCAAGGTAACATGCTGCTGCTATCAGTGAGAACAGCTGCTCACGTTACCACACACATCACGCCTCTCCTATCTCTCACCAATCAGTTAAAACCACTGTAATGTGTGTTGTTTATCAGTTGTGTCTCCGTGACGTTGTTCCATTGGTGCCTGTGGCATAGTCTTGGTGCGCACCTCTTCACTGCCTTCACTGTCACCAGGTGGATCACTGGTCAAACTTCTGCTCTGGACTCTTCGTCGTGTAGTCCAAATACTGCCTGGACTTCTGGTCGTGTAGTCCAAATACTGCCTGGACTTCTGGTCGTGAAGTCCAAATACTGCCTGGACTTCTGGTCGTGTAGTCCAACTACTGCCGGGACTTATAGCTGTATAGTTCAACAGCTGTTGCAGACTAGTCGTTGTGTGGAGACGACCTAGTCATGAGCACGTTCTCTATGACATGGGTCCTTGCTGTGTTCACTCTCATGTGTCCACACCTGAATGGTAAGTACACATCTGCCAGGTTAGTACACACCTGCTAAGTTCCTAAATTATCTTTATTTTGGTGTCTGAAAACTTTATTAGAAATTGTTGTTCAGAATTATTATTCACGTAGAAGTGGAAATCTGTGTATAAGGTGTTTTGCTGCAAAGATTAGTTCTCAAATGCTCTCCAAGTGGTTAGTCACTTTCTCGAGAGCTGACTAAGGTACATCATTAACAGCGAGCAGGTACGAGATTGACCGGAGGCCCGGGGTCCAGCTGGGTGCTGCCACCACCTCTAGCGGGTGTTCAATGCCCTTCCTGCCTGTCGGCGACCAGTGCCTCTACTTCGCCACCTTCGCGGAGCTGACCTACGAGGAAGCCAGACAGATGTGTCACTCACTGGACGGGGAGCTGGCGGCTGTCCTCACAGCCACCCGCCTGAAGAACATCATTGACTACCTTTATGACAACGGTGAGCTTCGCCACACCTTCATGTACTGACTTATTTTATGGTGACGGAAAGTTATTTTGAACAAAGGATCTCTGGCTTTCCAACATGTCCCTGAAGACCAGACGAGGTGCCCCAAGGGGAGGCTGCAGTGGGGACTCGCGCGACCATACACAGACTTCCTTTGTTTGTGTTATGATTAAGCTCTTGGCCCCGCTACTAAATCTGTTAGATCATTCTCTACGTGTAATTATATTAATATTATATATTTCAGTATGTGTGTGTTCTGAGTGTTTCCTCCGGTGTTGAGACGACCAAGCGAGCAGCACCAGGACGCATCACCTAGGCTTCTTGCTACGTGTTGGCACATTAAATAGCGTATAAATGAAATATGTTTTGATAGCACTTACGACGAATTTGGAGACATTGCGCCACAAGAGGTGCTGGTGCAACCTGTCTACTAGATTAATACATCACATTTCCACCGCAAATCCCAAATGAATATAAGATGATGTACCATAAATCATAGAGGCTCACCAACATTCACGTGTTCTATGCATTAGTCACTCGGTAAGGTTCAGTTCGTTTGTTTTAATACACCATTTTCTGTCCGTTCCTGCAGCTCGAGAGGTCGGGCTGGCTGGTGCATGAAGGGTTGTAATATTGTGGCTTACCTGTTCCTACGGGACTTGAGATGGAGGAAACTTATCTCATAGTACCTCCACAGGTCTGAGTGTGTGTACCTCCACAGGTCTGAGTGTGTGTACCTCCACAGGTCTGAGTGTGTGTACCTCCACAGGTCTGAGTGTGTGTACCTCCACAGGTCTGAGTGTGTGTACCTCCACAGGACTGAGTGTGTGTACCTCCACAGGTCTGAGTGTGTGTACCTCCACAGGTCTGAGTGTGTGTACCTCCACAGGACTGAGTGTGTGTACCTCTACAAGTCTGAGTGTGTGTACCTCCACATGTCTGAGTGTGTGTACCTCCACAGGTCTGAGTGTGTGTACCTCCACATGTCTGAGTGTGTGTACCTCCACAGGTCTGAGTGTGTGTACCTCAAGAGGTCTGAGAATGTGTACCTCCACAGGTGTGAGTGTGTGTACCTCCACAGGTGTGAGTGTGTGTACCTCCACAGGTGTGAGTGTGTGTACCTCCACAGGACTGAGTGTGTGTACCTCTACAGGTCTGAGTGTGTGTACCTCCACAGGTCTGAGTGTGTGTACCTCCACAGGTCTGAGTGTGTGTACCTCCACAGGTCTGAGTGTGTGTACCTCCACAGGTCTGAGTGTGTGTACCTCCACAGGTCTGAGTGTGTGTTTACCTCCACAGGTCTGAGTGTATGTACCTCCACAGGTCTGAGTGTGTGTACACCTCCACAGGTCTGAGTGTGTGTATCTCCACAGGTCTGAGTGTGTGTACCTCCACAGGTCTGAGTGTGTGTACCTCCACAGGTCTGAGTGTGTGTACCTCCACAGGTCTGAGTGTGTGTACCTCCACAGGTCTGAGTGTATGTACCTCCACAGGTCTGAGTGTGTGTACACCTCCACAGGTCTGAGTGTGTGTATCTCCACAGGTCTGAGTGTGTGTACCTCCACAGGTCTGAGTGTGTGTACCTCCACAGGTCTGAGTGTGTGTACCTTCACAGGTCTGAGTGGTGAAAGCTTTTGGATGGACGGGACTGACAGAGCGACGGAAGGGGACTTTCGGACGTCCTCTGGTCTTGAAGTCCCCATGGGCACGCCCTTCTGGATGGCGACTAAAACATGGCAGGATCCGGATGATGCTCAGGGTTATGGGGGAGAAGACTGCATGGAGCTAAGCAGCCCGTATAGTTTCTACATTAATGACAGAAACTGCTCCGACCTCAAGGCGCCGCTGTGTGAACAAGGGCCACAGCTGCTCCATACACGTAAGAATCTCTATAGTTTCCAAGTATTTCATCATATAAGGTATATTTATATCAGAATCAATGAGGAAGGATTACATAGCTTCAATCAGTTTTTAATAGTAATTCCTATCTGTTACGTGCCTAGCATGGCAGGGGCAGGATTGATATATAAATATATTATATAGATATATTGATATGAAAGAAGTACCACGTGACCCTGCCAGACTCTCCCCACCTACCGCCTTACCTCGAGTGTGATTGGCATCCATCCCCATTATTCCTCTATTAATTTACCTATGTGTGATTACTTCACTTTACTCCCCCCCCCCCACATACACAACCTAACCTCTTTCACATGTGTAATCAAGATAAATGTGCACCTTCTATATTCATTCCATACCTGAAGGTGTTCCAGAGCGGAACGAAACGTTGTAGAAAATATTCCCTTCAATAATCATTTGGGTTTCTTTACCATGAATGTCGGTAACTTGATTGTTCTTCCTAATCCCGAGAGTCAGACAATAGTTAGAAGCATATGAAGCTTATACTATAAGATCAGGAACGACTGCTGTTGTTATAATTATTTTAGAGTCAGCTACTCGGAACAAAAAGTTCCAAGCAGCATGGGCTATGGTGAGGCCAAAGTGGACCTCACTTCTGGCATGTGAGTTTCCGGTTATATATATATATATATATATATGGATATATATATATATATATATATATATATATATATATATATATATATATATATATATATATATATATATATATATAAAATTTTGTGAGGGTACCACCTCTGGTGCCAATGTGGGGACCCATAGCCTCGGAGAAGAAAATAAAAAGTATTCAGAGGAGACCTTGTGGTTTCTCACTGAACACTAATATTATCTTCTCCTACCACCCCCATTCTTTTGTATGTACACATATATATTTACTTTATTTGAACTTTGTTACAAAAAAGGAGTTACATATGGGTTACAAAGATGGTTGTCATAGGTTGTCGAGTTCCTCCAGCTCCTCAGATGGCGGGCAGGAACCCTGGATGCAGTGCGCATTTCCCCTCTGTATCGCCACACTGAGGCGCTGGAAAAGAAAGCTTGCAGCTCTCGGGTCCCTTGTTGTTTCAATGAGCCTAGAACCCAGTTCCTTCAAAAAACTGGTAGCACTTTTACCCCAGGCGCCGAGCGTCTCAGAAGCAATGGGGACAAAATTGTAGTGGTGATCCAGTTCTCTATACTTACGGGATTTGGCTGCTTCCCTGTGGGTGGCAGCGCCACCTGGTTGTGCAACACTGAGGTTAATGTAGGTGTTAGCCAGGGTTGATACGCACGTGTAGTCCCATACCAACTGCTTGCCGTTCTTCCAGGGGTTCACTGTGATACCATCCGGGCGACCAATAAGAGCATCAGAGTTACGGGGCGTTAGGTAACGGGGCTCTTTTTCAGCTGGGCATCCAGCTGTGGTGAGGCTCCTCTTGATGATGTCGTTAACTTCACTGTGCCTCGAGTGCCATCCCCCTGTGCTTTGGCAGAGTAGGCCATGGTGACCGTACCTGTCAGCCACCACCTCGCCGCAAATACACCTATATCTGGTGTGGATTGGGGCAGCAAGGCGGAGGGCCACTGCAATTCGGAGGGCGTGTGGTGCGAGACGCGTGCCAGTTGCCGACATTGGGGTTGCTAACAGGAAATCCCCTGCATGTGGTGCTGCTACTGCTGTGAGGCGAGCAATGTCGTGTTGTGTTGTTGCAGTACCCAGGCACTCTGCAGCAACTTGGTCTACAATGGGACCATCCCAGCTGGATTCCTTGTGGGATTTTGGGGATGGTGGTTGAGGTGATTGGCCTGCACGAGAGGCCCACTCTGTGGCACAGCGTGTAAAATTGGGATCATGTACACCTGCCAGCTGATGTAAGTGGGCAGGTAGAATTTCCTTCACAAGGTCGTCGGATGCTGATAAGGAGGACAGGAAGGCTGGAACAGCGATTTGCGTTGCTGTTCGAACTCCGAGGCCCCCAAGTCTTACGGGAAGAGAGGCTTGTTTCCACTGTAGGTCATCGAGAGAGAGGTTAAGGGCTTTTTCTAGCATTGATTTCAGTAACCGGTCATACTCACTTAGTTTTTGGCTACTGTAAGATGGTGAACACCTCAGAAAGTAGGTTAACCTGGGGAGGGACAGACATCTGGTGATGAGGTAGAGTGCATCATGAGCATCAATATCCTCAATCCTCCCATCCATCCTCTTAAGGTCGGCGATTTTCTTATCAAGGACCTCATCGGTGGCTTTCAACCCCAGGGGAGCTCCTAGGAGTGTGCTGTCTTCAGGTTTAGTTTTATGGATATTTGGCAGAAGACCCTCTATTCTCTCTACGATGCCCTGGTTGGAACATATTATTTCACATTTAGAAGGGTTCAGGGTGAGGCCTAAAACTGCACCTTGCTCCTGGATTTTTCTGATGTCCTCCAGGAGGGAGTCTTGGGAACCAGCTAGGGTACCATCATCCAAGAACCAGATGTTAAGCTCGCTGGACAGGACCTCTGTGACTTGTTTGATGACTAAGCAGAAAAGGAGAGGAGCAAGGGGGTCACCCTGTTGGACGCCATCTCGCGAGTCAATTTCATGTTCGCCAAAAAGTAGCTTAAGATCCATACTGTAGCATGAATGTACAAAAGGGTAGAGGGAAGGGAAATGACTATGAACCGCACGGAGTACAGCATCCCTCCGCACCAAATTGAAGGCATTTTTGAAATCTAGCTTGATAAGGGCCTTTTCGTCTGTGATGTTGGCGATGAAGGCTCGAGCTGCATGGGCTGCCGCCTCACACCCTTGTGGAATGCCAAACCCGAGCTGTTTTGGCTTCAGCATGTTGGCCGCTGCATCACTAACTGTTCTTGCAGCTGCCTTTGCGACGAGACGCCGGAGAGAATTGCCCACAGCTATTGGCCTGATCCCTCCATCCTTTTTCTTTAGAGCACAGAGACATGCTCCAAAAAAGATAGGTCTTATGGACGCTGGTATGTTGCCAGCTAGACATGTGTTGGTGAATCTGGTTAGTTCCACCAAGAGGTTCTTCGCAATGTCACCCAGTGCAGGGTTGAGCATTTGCTTGAGGCTTTTATTTATTTATTTATTTGCTTTGAGGCTTTTTGCTTGAGGCCTGCATTTGCTTATATATATATATATATATATATATATATATATATATATATATATATATATATATATATATATATATATATATATATTATTAAATATGACCGAAAAAGCAGGATTGATAATTCTAACACGAATTTTCTCGATCTTTCGTACGTTTCTTTTCACTGTTGGTGGTAATTCAAAAATCAAGACGAGACGAGACAATCGGGATGATAGCGGACAGAGTGTATCGTGATCCGCCCTGTACTCCTCTTGACATACCAGAAAATATTCTAAGGAAACTACTCCAAGCTTGTACTAAAGAGGCACCCTTCTATAGCCCGGATGGGCACATGTATCAGCAAGTAGATGGGGTCGCCATGGGTTCTCCCCTAGGTGTCCTGTTTGCAAACTTCTACATGGGTACCATCGAGCAAAAAGTCTTAGTCGACATGAACTTGAAACCGGCCATATACTGCAGGTATGTTGACGACATTTTTACACAGGTACCTGATGTCAGACATCTGCAGGAGCTGAAGGAGGCATTTGAGCAGAGTTCCGTGCTGCGTTTCACTTACGAGATGGAAAAGGATGGGAAGCTGCCCTTTCTAGATGTAACAGTCATGGAAAAGAGCGGAGGTTTCCACACTGCAGTCTACACTAAGGAAACGAGCATAGGAATGTGCCTAAATGCCAACAGCGACTGCCCAGACAGGTACAAGAGGAGTGTTGTTAACGTTTATGTCGACCGTGCTCAGAATGGAAGCAAGTCGACGAAGAACTCTGTAGGGTAAGGCAGGTCCTAGTCAACAACGGCTTCTCCAATGGTTTCGTCGAAGACATCATAAGAAGGAAAGTGAAACGCCATGCAACCTCTGAAGAGACAACTAACACAACACCTATACCCCCTATTAGACTATTTTATAGGAACTTCTTTTCCACAGCTCATAAAACGGAGGAAAGGGTCCTGAAAGATATTGTTAATAGAAACGTTATCCCTACAGACAAAAATCAGAGGATACAACTGACGATTTACTATAAAACCAGAAAAACGGCCAGCCTACTCATGAGAAACTCTCCAGACACAAAGCAGAACGCTTTAAAAGAGACCAACGTCGTCTATGCCTTCAAATGCCCTCTTGGGGACTGTAAGCTCCAAAAAACCCAGTATATAGGCAAGACAACAACGTCTCTTTCTAGGCGTTTAACGATGCATAAACAACAGGGCTCCATTAAGGAACATATAATCTCTTCCCACAACCAAACCATCGCCAGAGAAATCATAGTAAACAACACAGAAATCATTGATAGATATAGCGATAGCAGGTGGCTTGATGTCGGCGAGGCACTACACATCAAGAAGTCAACACCAGCAATCAACAGCCAATTAATGCACAACTATATTCTACCCACCTCAAGACTCCGCTCCAATATAGAAGCATCAAGAAATATGGACCAATAGGCTTTCTACAATCACTTCCATTCAAATACCCATTGTTTCGTGTTCTGTCTTGTGTTTAGGAATTTAATACCCTATTAATACCACCTCACTCAAATGTAGATATAAACAAATCGAAGATGTGTAAGTTCTATTCAGTTGTGTATGTGTAAACGAAAGTCTTCGAAAATGTAATAAGTTTTACGAAACGCGCTCAAGTGTCGCATCAGACTAGAAATATAAATGAATTTTGGAGAATTGATTTTTGAATTACCACCAACAGTGAAAAGAAACGTACGAAAGATCGAGAAAATTCGTGTTAGAATTATTAATCTTACTTTTTCGGTCATATTTAATAATATGTCTACAGGAAAGACTGCTACCAAAATATACTAATATATATATATATATATATATATATATATATATATATATATATATATATATATATATATATATATATATATATATATATATATATATATTTTGGTAGCAGTCTTTCTTGTAAACATATGTTGTTGAATATGACCGAAAAGGTAAGATTAATAATTCTAACACGAATTTTCTCAATATTTCTTATATTTCTTTTCACTGTTGATGGTAACTGAAAAATCAATTCTCCAAAATTCATTTTTATTTCTAGTCTGACGCGACACTTGAACGCGTTTCGTAATAACTTATTCATTTTCAAAGACTTTAGTTTACACACACACAACCATAACTAAACAGAATTTAAACAGTTTCGATTTTATACCTGCATTTGGGTGAGGTGATATGTTACAACAGTTTTGGATGAGGTGAAAACAAACTTTCAACACAAGACAGAACACGAAACAATAAGTATAATATTTTCGTAAGTTAAAGGGATGAATGGAAGTAAGTGCAAAGGGTTTATTGGCCCATATTTCTAGATGCTTCTATATTGGTGCGCAGTCTTGAAGTGGGTAGAATATAGTTGTGCATTACACACACAGAGATCACACTAACGTGATGCATCAAATGAACAAATCCACATGGGCCGTGACGAGGATTCGAACCTGCGTTCGGGAGCATCCCAGACACTGCCCTAATCGACTGAGCTACGATCAGTAGAACTTCAGTTTCAACCCTTTTAACCCTGTCGTAGCTCAGTCGAATAAGGCAGTGTCTGGGATGCTCCCGGACGCAGGTTCGAATCCTCGTCACAGCCCTTGTGGATTTGTTCTTTTAGCTGTGCATTAATTGGCTGTTGATTGCTAGTGTCGACTTCCTAAAGTGTAGTGCCTCACAGATATCAAGCCGCCTGCTATCGCTGTATCTATCTATGATTTCTGTGTTTTTTGTTTAGACTTCTCTGGTGATGGTCTGGTTGTGGGAAGAGATTATATGTTCCTTAATGGAGCCCTGTTGCTTATGCATCGTTAATCGCCTGGAAAGAGATGTTGTCTTGCCTATATACTGAATTCTTTGAGGCTTACAGTCCCCAAGAGGGCATTTGAAGGCATAAACAACATTGGTCTCTTTTAAAGCGTTCTGCTTTGTGTCTGGAGAGTTTCTCATGAGTAAGTTGGCCGTTTTCTTGGTTTTATAGTAGATCGTCAATTGTATCTTCTGATTTTTGTCTGTAGGGATAACGTTTCTATTAACAATATCTTTCAGGACTCTTTCCTCCATTTTATGAGCTGTGGAAAAGAAGTTCCTGTAAAAAAGTCTAATAGGGGGAACAGGTGTTGTGTTAGTTGTCTCTTCAGAGGTTGCATGGCGTTTCACCTTCCTTCTTATGATGTCTTCACCGAAACCATTGGAGAAGCCGTTGTTGACTACGACCTGCCTCACCCTACAGAGTTCTTCATCGACTTGCTTCAATCCTGAGTTGTGGCTGAGAGCACGGTCGACATAAGCGTTAACGACACTCCTCTTGTACCTGTCTGGGCAGTCACTGTTGGCATTGAGGCACATTCCTATGTTTCTTTCCTTAGTGTAGACTGCAGTGTGGAAACCTCCGCTCCTTTCCATGACTGTTACATCTAGAAAGGGCAGCTTCCCATCCTTCTCCATCTCGTAAGTGAAACGCAACACAGAATTCCGCTCAAATGCCTCCTTCAGCTCCTGCAGATGTCTGACATCAGGTACCTGTGTAAAAATGTCATCAACAGACCTGCAGTATATGGCCGGTTTCAAGGTCATGTCGACTAAGACCTTTTGTTCGATGGTACCCATGTAGAAGTTCGCAAACAGGACACCTATTGGAGAACCCATGGCGACTCCATCTACTTGCTTATACATGTGCCTCTCCGGGCTCAAGAAGGGTGCTTCTTTAGTACAAGCTTGGAGTAGTTTCCGTAGAATGTTTTCTGGTATGTCAAGAGGAGTACAGGCCGGATCACTATACACTCTGTCCGCTATCATCCCGATTGTTTCATCCACAGGTACGTTGGTAAACAGTGATTCTACGTTCAACGAGGCTCTTATCCCTGTGGCCAGGAGAATGGTCCAGGACGGACCGAAACGTCGTCGTCCCTTCACCTTCTAGTGTGTGTTGTCTGGTCAACTTACTTTAGTCACGTTATTGTGACTCATCGCCTGTAAATTTTCAAAGACTTTAGTTTACATATACAACTGTAACCTGTAAACACGTTGTTGTTGTTATAGATACAGCTACACACGGAAAAAGTTCCAGTCAGCACAGTCTATGGTGAGCCCAAAACTTACCTGGCACAGAAGCGGGGCAAGTAGCATGGGCTATGGTTAGCCCGAAGTGGACTTAACTGGCACTAGAACGGTGCTGAATCTCTGTGTGTAAACACGCTAATCCGTCATACTTATATTCGCATTTGGGTGAGGTGATATGGTACAACAGTTTTGGATGAGCTGAACAAACTTGTGAGTAACACAAGACAAAACTCGAAACTATGGATATTGAATGGAAGTATCTGCAGAGCCTATGGGCCTATTGGCCCATACTTCCTCTTGATGCTTCTATATTGGTTCCGAGTCTTGATGTGGGTAGAATACAGTTGTGCATTAATTGGCCGTTGATGCTGGTGTAGACTTTTTAATGTGTAGTGCCTCGCAAATGTCGAGCCGCCTGCTATCGCTGTATCTATCGATGATTTCTGAGTTGTTTGATAAGACTTCTCTGGTAATGGTCTGGTTGTGACAGGAGATTATATGTTCCTTGATGGAGCCCTGTTGTTTATGCATTGTTAAACGCCTGGAAAGAGACGTTGTTGTCTTGCCTATATACTAAGTTCTTTGGGGCTTACAGTCCCCAAGTGGGCATTTGAAGGCATAGACGACGTAGATTTTCTTCAAGGCGTTCTGCTTTGTGTCTGGAGAGATTTTCATGAGTAGGTTGGCCGTTTTTTTGGTTTTATAGTAAATAGGCAATTGTATTTTCTGATTTTTGTCTGTAGGGATAACGTTCCTATCAACAATATCTTTCAGGACCCTTTCCTCCGTTTTATGAGCTGTGGAAAAGAAGTTCCTGTAAAATAGCCTAATAGGGGTTACATGTGTTGCGTTAGTTTACTCTCCAGAGGTTGCATGGCATTTTACCTTTCTTTTTATAATGTCTTCAACAAAACCATTGGAGAAGCCGTTGTTGACTGGAACCTGCCTTACCCTAGAGAGTTCTTCATCAACTTGCATCCATCCTGAGCTGTGGCTGAGAGCACGGTCGACATAAGCATTGATGACACTCCTCTTGTACCCGTCTGGGCAGTCACTATTGGCATTGAGGCACATTCCTATGTTTGTTTCCTTAGTGTAGACTGCAGTGTGGAAGCCTCCGCTCCTTTCCGTGACTGTTACATCAAGAAAGAGCAGCTTCCCATCCTTCTCCATCTCGTAAGTGAAACTCAACACAGAATTTCGCATAAATGCCTCCTTCAGCTCCTCCAGATGTCTGACATCAGGTAGCTGTGTAAAAATGTCGTCAACATACCTGCAATATATGGCAGGTTTCAAGTTCATGTCAACTAAGACCTTCTGCTCGATGGTACCCATGTAGAATTTCGCAAACCGAACACCTAGGGGAGAACCCATGGCGACCCCATCTACTTGCTTATACATGTGCCCAATTGGGCTCAAGAAGGGTACCTCTTTAGTACAAGCTTGGAGTAGTTTTATTAGTATGCTTTCTGGTATGTCAAGAGGAGTACAAGCCAGATCACGATACACTTTGTCCGTTATTAATACTCAATACAAGCCTAGAAACCCACTTCGGCCAATCATCAGCCAGATACCCACACCCTCATACAGACTGGCTAAGCGACTCAACGGCTTGCTGACTCCTTATGTACCTAGTGCTTTCAGCCTTAAGTCTCCAAAGGAATTTGTTGACTTACTGTGGGGAACACGGGCCACAGGGATAAGAACCTCGTTGGACGTAGAATCACTGTTTACCAACATACCTGTGGATGAAGCAATCGGGATGATAGGGGATAGAGTGTATCATGACTCCTTGTCACGCTTGTACTCCTCTTGACACGCTTGTATGTTCAACCATGGACATTCCTAAATATTCTAGGTATAGATTAGTTGCTCATTGTTATCTACTATTTCTTCACATCAGCGACGCTCGAGGAGCTGGACTGCCCGCCCTTCTTCGTCAGTGTGGGCGGCCTGTGTCTGGCGTTCATGACGTGGGCGGAGGAGACGTGGGTGGACGCCCGTCAAGCTTGTCATGGACTATCCGGAGAGCTGGCCGCCATCACTGACATCGAGCAGCTCAGAGCAATATACCTCCACGTTCACCAGGAAGGTAAGGCTACTGGGGGAGGGGGAAAGGGGAGGGAGAGGAAGGATTATACCCCTACTTGCACAATAAAGGAAAGAATACTCATTGATCACTATCTGTGTGTTGCAGGGATCAATAATCACTATCTGTGTGTTGCAGGGATCGCTGGTCACTCCTTCTGGCTGGGCGGCTCCGACGCGGCGACGGAGGGCGTGTGGACGTGGACGGACGGACAGCCCGTCACTATGGGTGCGTCGCGTCCCTTCATCTCTTTCCTCACACTCTTTGCAATTACAATCATTTGTGACAAGTTAATAAGTCGTAATAAATATAATTCAAAGGAAAGATTAATAAGGATGCAACAAAATGGTTATCAAATATATTTGTCAACGTTGAGAATGACCACCACTGCAATGATCGAATATTGCAGCATCTTAGTTAAGCTGATAAGGCATAATATTAACAAAGTTGAACATCTTAATTATCCCTTAGGATAAGGGAGAATATATAAGCATCAATGACCATTAGGAACAAACTAGATTTTTGGTTTTCTACCACAGATATGGCGACATTTTACAATGCTAATTAAAATATACGTTTTCTTCTGTCCTCCATGGACAGGAAGAGAGGTTTGTTAAACATATAGTTCAGTGATTTATTGAACAATCAACTACAGAAGGTGATTGTAGTGTTTTTAACATGCTAATCCAACCTACATACATAAATACACAGACTTACGTCAGTGTTCAAGGTGTCTTTTACAGTGTCATTAATGGGCGTTAACGAAGGTGGAATGCAATTCTGACCAGCTTACACATATCCTGTATAGACGTACATACATATATACATACACATGTACATGTCTCTCCTCCTTTGACAAGGAAAGATAGCTGCTAATGAAATTAGTGTTATATTAAGCACTTAACCACTGAAGGTGATTAAGTTACTTTCATAAGCTCAGGTTACAGTTGAATCACAAACATTGAATAACTGATGCATTACATAGTCAATCTTTGGTACATGTCCTGAATATCATCAAGTTTTCCAGTATTCATATAATATTTACAGAGTTCAGCATACCTCAGCCCACAGAGGCGAAAGTCAGTCAATATGGGACATTCTACATTATAATGTTCAAGGCAAATGTGTGAACGTTTAATCTTTGTATAATCGGTGATCAAGTCAGGTGATGTATGGCTGCTGCCTGAGAGTGACAGAGAGCTCTGGGAACAGAGCTGCCATGTTAGGACAGAGTAGTCAATGTCACCCACACTGTAGGTAGAATGTTGTCTGCCTCCCCTGAACACATCTCTGATTCTCACCGCTTTAACATCCCAGATATTCATCAACAACTCGATGATATTACTGATTATTTTATTCCTTCCGATAATAAGAGAGTCCCTCTGCCTGACCTTGTGGAGATGCGAGGATGAGAGAGATGCAAACACTAAACTGGCTCACCAAGTTATCCAAACTATATGATCTATACATTTGTAAGAACGACTTGATTTGGCAATTTCTCGACAGATTCAGCACATGAGAGTGAACCCAAAATTAATTAATCAATCTATGTTCTATATAAAATAACTTTGATACATTTGTGCATACATGCATATCCATATGTATAGGAGCACATTTTAAGTGAACATATTTTAATATATGTCTTGACAAGTTCTTCAATATGATGTACCGCGGATAATCATTGTTGTGATTTGACAGTTTTTATTCCCAATGGAAATCTTCATGTAACTTCCAAGCGCACATGTACTCAACACTGTACCTAGTGACGTCACTTGCAATGGTTCCATACATATTACTGCACATAACTGCCAGTCATATTGTAGTGTTCAGCTGACTATATGTTCCACTTTGTAACACTTCTCTCTCTCTCTGCAGGGTCGCCCTTCTGGGGTTATACGGGCATTAACAAGGTGGAGCCAGACGGCGGTACAGCTGAAAACTGTATCCTGCTGGACGCCCAGGGTTACCACTACTTCCGTGACGCCTCCTGTAGCCTGCTGATGACCCCACTCTGTATGACTACCCAATAGTTTGCTGGTGACCCCACCCTGTATAGCTCTTGTGACGGGATGTGGTATCGCAGCTATACTGAACCAAGATGGTATGACTCTCCCTCACACAAATAACAAAAATGGTGCTATTGGCCTTGCAGTGTGTAAGTCGAGGGAGAAAACCAAAGAAAATCATCAAATAAATAATTAAAACAATTTATTGAAATATTAATGAACAAAAATGACACATGACAATACTTGGCTATTATTATATATCAAATCAAGTAAGTAAATGAAAGTTTAACTCTAATACAAAGCATAAAGATATACTGGTGTACTGAAGACAACTACCATACCACCATGGCATCAGACACACGGCGTTGGCTGAAGGCGGACGACGGGTGAGAGAGACCAAGGGGTTCCAAGAGCACTAAGAGAGAGACTGCCTCTCCAGGGTTGTTGTTGTTAAAGATCCGCTACCCGGAACAAAGTTCCAAGTAGCACGGGCTATGGTGGCCTCTCCAGGGAGGCGTCGCCCTTTATATTGTCCGCCGATGATGACTCCACCGGTGTCACCACATGGTGGACCTCTGGTCACCTAGCAAACTGCTCTGTACCAGGCCGTGCCAGGCCGTGCCAGGCCGTGCCAGGCCGTACCAGGCCGTACCAGGCCGTGCCAGGCCGTGCCAGGCCGTGCCAGGCCGTACCAGGCCGTACCAGGCCGTGCCAGGCCGTACCAGGCCGTGCCAGGCCGTGCCAGGCCGTGCCAGGCCGTGCCAGGCCCGTGAGAGAGCATCCGCAATTATGTTGTCTGATCCTTTGGTGTAGAAGATCTGGGTGTTGAAGTTTTGAATGCCCAACAAAGTAGACGCTGGTTGGAGAATTGGGCTTGTTGTAGAAAACGAAGAATATTATGATCGGAATAGATGGTGATGGGGGTTGGTGTCCTTGAAGGTAAGGTTCATATCGTTGCAAGCATAGGACGACGGCGAGTAGCTCCTTCTCTATAGTGCTGAAGTTTTGTTGTTGAAGCTTCAGCTTGTAGCTGTAGTAGCTGACTGGTAGAACTTCCCCCGCTCTCTTTACTGCATCAGGACACCCCCAATGCCGGTGCTGCTGGCATCAACATTAAGGATGAAGGGTTGTTTCACATCTGGAGAGGTGAGAATGGGGTTAGTACATAGCAAAGTTTTCAATTGTTCGAAGGCAATCTCTTGTGAGTTGGTCCAAATGTATTTCCTTTTAGGGCCAGTAAGATTGATTAAAGGTATGGCAACTATGCTGAGGTTCTTGCAGAACCTACGATAGTAGGACGCTATATACTCCCAAGAATCTCATAAGTTGTTTACGAGAAGTGGGCTGTGGATATTTTTGGATGGCTTGAAGGTGCTAAGCTTCCACTGCCTATAGCATGACCAAGGTATTGTACTTAACCTTTAGTAAACGTGGACTTGCCCAAATTAATGGTGAGACCAGCCTGGAGAAGCTTGTAGAATTGTCGTTGTAGTCGGTCAAGATGTTCTTTCCACGAGTTGGTTGCTACAACGATGTCGTCCAGGGAGGTATAGGTGTTGTCAAGATCTTGAATGGTGAGGTTGACAGCTCGCTGGAAAGTAGCTGGGGTCCAAAAGGTAACTGTTCATACCTAAAAAGGCCAAAAGGAGTGATAAAGGCTGAGATATCTTTAGCACGCTCAGAAAGTCTTATTTGATAATTGCCCTCTAAGAGGTCTATTTGGGACAAAAAGGTGGCATTACCTATTGTATCTAAGATGTCGTCGATGCGAGGTAAAGGATAGGAGTCTTTGGTGGTAACTGCATTTAACTTCCTGTAGTCTGTGCATAATCTTACCTTGCCATGTGGTTTGGGAACCAGTATGCATGGTGAAGCCCAAGGAGACTCACAAGGTGTAGCTAATCCATTGCTGAGGAGGTACTTTACATCTGCGAACATGGCTTCTCTCTTCTGTAGACTGATGCGGTAGTAAGGTTGATGGATGGGCATCGTATCAGGAAGCAGCTGGATATCATGTTGCACTAAATTACATTCCTGTGGAGTGTCTTGAATCAGTTTTTTATGGGTAGATAGTAATTTAATTGAAGGAGCACTATTATTAGAACGTTCTAGGTATTTGGGAAGATCTTATAAGATCTCACTGTTAGACTTCATGGTCTCTATGATATTTTTACACTCGGATGGAGAGGTAGCAGAGTATGTATCACTGTTGAGATACCTCTCGGTAAATGAGGATACAGATAATAACACTGGTGGCGGATTACCTTGATAACTCTTGAGCAGGTTGACGTGGCAGAGTTGTGTCTTGCGACGCCGGTCCGGAGTCTCTAGAATGTAGTTGTTGTTGTTCTTACATTCTTTGATGCGATAAGGTCTTGAAAATTTACATTTAAATGGAGAGGTTGGGATAGGAAAATAGGCTAGAACGAAGTCTCCTACATTAAACTTTCTTACCTTAGTGTTCTTGTCAAAGTGTGCTTTCATCTTATGTTGGAAGGTCAGTAAATTAGCACTAGGAAACTTATGTAATTGTTTAAGTTTGTCTCAAGTTTTTAAGAAATTGAGGCACATTAAGGGAATCACTGAAGGTGGTTGACGTCAAGGAATCTTTAAAAGCTTTAAGAGGACCACGACACTTACGACCGTAGAGCATCTCATAAGGAGATAGTCGAATGGACTCTTTAGTAAGACTTCTGAAAATACACATAAGGAAATCTAATTGCTTATACCAGTCCTTCTCAGTATCAATACAATAATTCTTTAACAAAGACTTAATGGTTTGATGGTTACGTTCAAGAGATCCCTGTGAAGCACGATGAGGATGAACTGGACAAGACTTGGGTGAGGTTAAATTCCTGAAGAGTTTTCTTAAACAACTCACTGGTGAAATTCGTTCCACAGTCACTTTGCATCTCCTTCGGGAAACCATACTGAGTGAAGATCTTCAACAGATGCTTGACAACTGTAGCAGCTGTAATATTCTTAACGGGAAATGCTATTGGGAACCTGGTTGTAGGACACATTATAGTGATGATGTACATGTTGCCTGCCTGGGTTTTTGGTAAGGACCCAACGCAGTCGATTACTAACCTGGTAAAAAGTTCAGAAGGCACAGAAATAGGGATAAGTGGTGCCTTGGGAATACCTACATTGGGTTTTCCTGCCATTTGGCAGGTATGACAATTGGTAACATAGATCTTGACATCTCGTACCATGCCTGGCCACAAATAGTCCTGTAAAAGGGTATTATAAGTTTTATGGATCCCATAATGAGACATTGGGCCATGAGCAAAAGATATGATATCTTTTAATGATGTTGAAACCACTAGTTGATTCTCATCAGCCCAATCATCCTCCGCCTTAAGTTTACTGGGCCTGAATCTATGGTACAGTAATTATTTAGTGTCTATATAAAATCCTGGAATGGCATCGGTTTTAATCTGTGCTTGATAGAAAAGTGGGGTTAGTGACAAATCTGCTTGTTGTAGCTTACGGAACTCCAACTGGTTGAAATTAGGAGGGAGGCCTCGCACATCTTGAGGGACAGCTGCTGCTACTTGTTGTGGTTGAGCGGCTTGAGCACGGGTAGTCACTAGAACAGGCTGGCAGATGTCTGCTGATTATTCTGTCACGGTTACCTTTTCTTCTGCTGCAAAAGTCATAGCGGGATCTTCTACCGTGGCTGAGTCACACACCTGGAGTTTGTCGCAGATGATCAAATTGGTGGAATCTTGCTGGTTGGCTAAGTCGTTGCCAGGGAGAAGTTGAATTCCTGGCAAGGGGAAAGGTTTTTCCCGAATAGCAACTTGTACCTTTCCACGAATGAATGGACACTCCAGGTAGACTGTGGCGAGTGCATATGGTGTAGTTGCAGTGAGGTCAGTGATCAGGACAGTTTCTCCAGTGTAGGTGACTTGAAGTGCAGCAGCTTTTAGTATAATAGACTGCAGCGAAGCTGTGTCCCTCAAGATGCGCAGTGGGCTCTTACCCTCCTCTTGTTGTCTCTTGAGTTGAAGCTCTTGAGCTAGGCTTAGCAGTCGTTCTACTTCTCTTCGACGTTGTAAGTCAGCTTCTTGTTCTTGACGTTGACGTTGCAATTTAGCTTCTTGTTGCAGGATCTGGAGTCGTTCTTGTTCACGTACACGTTCTAATTCAGCCTTTTGTTCGTAGAGCTAAAATTATTCTTATTCACGTGCACGTTGTAGTTCAGCTTCTTGTTGTTGTAGCTGGCGATGTTCTCGTTCACGTTCACGGGCTAATTCAGCCTCTTGTCGTCTCATCTCCCGGGTGCGTTCATCGGCAGCAGCTTCTAGTTGCGCTAATTCGAGTTTTAATTTCATGTGTGTGAGTGTGGTCTTATCAGCAACTCTATGTCGGTCCTGCTGCTCTGGAGTAATAAGATCATTGTCTGCAAGGTGGTCAACAATCAGGTTATGAAGCTCAGCTTTGGTGACCCCATGGGGAGGAGTGATGTAGTATTCAGTAGTAAGGGTGATTAATTCTGCTCTAGTAGCACGAATTAATGTGTGGAGCTCCTCCTCTGAGTTAGCACGAAATGCGGCTAACCTAAACATATTGAATATTATATAAGTGCAAAATACCAATTAAAGAAATATGCGAGTACCCTGCAGGCGAACCAATAAGTGAGGATTACTGGACTGCCTTGTAAGTGATGTGGCAATATGCACGAGAATGGTTGGTATATAACTGGCAACACTGTACGTATGTAATTATTTTGTAGGGCAACAATAAATTTACAAGATAAATTACTGTACTATATATGATAAACTGAAATAAAACTAAGTCTTTGACTTTATTAAGGACTTGGAGAAACAATATAAATGAATGTTTCGAGGTAGTAAAGTATGAAGAGGATGTAGGGATGTCTGTACCCTGTACTCTAGTGACGATAAGGGCAAGAGTTGTCCTACTGGAAATTAGATAATTAACTGCAGAGTTACCATTCCTTGTGTTCTGTAAAAGAATAGTAAACTCCCTACCTGAGTAGTTAATCATGAACTATGAACTAAGGCTTAGGGGTGCAGGGAGTGTCACCACTGTGACGAGAACAGCTATACACGTCCCGAATGTATAACAGTTCTGGATGCGAAAGGATCTCTAGTCCAATACTTCCTCCCAAGTTCGTATTACAAAGTGGAACATAATAGTTCGAAGACAAATCAAAGTACCAGATAAGTACCCGAGGGAGTGATCTGCCTGAGTGAGTCCTCTCTCTTGGGACAACATTAATGTGGACAAAAGATATAGCAATAGCTTAGAAGACTAACCATTACGAGCATGAATTTGTGC